TGGTTTTGACGGCCAAGGGCGCGTGTCTAATCCACCTGGGAGGCTATTCTTCATACCAAACCGTGGTTTGGATTCTACACTTAACCAACATTACTTCCGTTTTTATTCAATATGGTGATAATTCAATGTAGTATTTGTTTTGTCTCCTCGTACGATATTTTATTCTGTATAATATACCACATTCTTGCATTCAAATGACATGAACTATGCTCAGCATGTGATTTGTTATAACTGTGTTTTTCAGATATGTGATTTCATGCTAATTATTAATCAAAATGAGTCTATAAATCAATATATAAATGAGTATATTTTCGACTAGCGTCGTTGTATTCTGGGGGTTAATAAATCTCCACTTATACCAGTATTTGTGTTCTTACTTTCGCATCATGGGAATTGCAGAAGTTCCTCGTTTCCAGTATAATTGATGAGTGTTTCCGACACAACAATCAGTGACCACCGGATATAACAAGCAGCATTCAAACGACAAGACATATCAGTGGAGACGGGAATACGTTCAAAAGAACAAAACTTATCAGTGACCTGCTCTTGTTTCTATGGGGGGAGTTTCTCGACCCATCTCAGTTTTGTTCTGAGGAATGATACTGAGGGCAACAACAGTATCCATAAAAATTTTCAAGCCTGAGTTTCTGTCTCTAACATAAAATAGGCAACTTTTTAGGCCCCCTCCCCGGTCGTTGCGATCTGTGGGGGGATTTATTCGTTCCCCATGTTCTTGGGAGTCTGTTTAGGCTAGGCACATGGTTGACTGCACTTGTTTGACTTGACACCAAACTTCCAGTGATACTAACAGAACTGCCCAGAATGTCTGAACATTTGTGAGCTGTTCTGCGACTTAAATCTTGATTGTTGTGGTGACGTGTAGTGACCAACTTTTATCACGAGAACGCGATCGGTGTAATGGAAACAATTGTTATTATAACCGATCGCACCAGGGATTGTCTTACCGTACTTGTTTGTTTGGCTGTAACGAAATGCATACATTCTTCCGTTGATTATGACCTTGCACGAATTCGGTTACGCTTAGTAACCCCACTCGTAACCCGGCACGATCTCGGTATTCTTTCGATACCACGAGATCGCCAACAAACACATCTCGACTACTACCATAAACTGCCTTCTGATATTTGGCCTACTGGGGATCTTATCGGTGAACTGGCACGTAGTCTCTCTGTAGTGGTGATCATAGGCAACCGCGACTCGACACAACACTACAGACCTGTTCCTGTTTCTATGACCCGTTTGCATATTGACGACAGCCTCCGTGTAGCTTTTAACACTCACAATGAGTCCTGATACTGCTGGGTCTTTTGATGGTTCTTCTTTTTGTGTATGATGTGTCGTGCGTTATCCAGTTGGGAGAGGTCCTATCTGCAACACGCGCTGAGATAAAGAGGTGTCAGGGATTCGAGCATCCAAACAGTGTTGGACGTAGCATGGAGGAGCTCGTATCCACTCTTGTTTTAAGACTGCTTCACCCGCTGTGTCGTCATCCACTAAGACTTGGAGGTGACGCAAAAACGGTGATAGTGACCTATAACCTAACGTTCCCCTTTGGAAAAGCCTCTGAATTCTTTGGCCATCTGATAATAATAAACGGTTCATTATCTCTCGTCTTAGGATGGTGTATGGTTGTGGCGATGGTGGACATAAATCAAATTGCGGAATTCTTTGACGACTGAAAGAGGAAGGACGGAACACAAACCTCGATAGCGAACTCCCTCAGGTTAAGTAATTCGTCTCGTGAAATAATGCTCTGGCTAAGCAAACCGCAACTCGGGATTACTACAATGAAGTTCTGGGAGCCGGACTTTCGTAGCTATAATAGCGTCTATCCCTATTAGTGACAAAAATCACTCATGGCTTTCGTCTGACATTCTTCTACACTGAAAAAAACATCGCACGTTGAGGTAGGCGGTGGTTGAGCGCTTATAACACTTGTCAAACCGCCTCAGTCGATGAAGATTTTCTACCTTGTCAGCTTATTCGTCATTGGTACATGGAATCTTAACCCTATCCTAGGTATTACTTACTCAGTAGTGTCAAAATACACGAGCTATGCCTCGAAGACAATTAAAATCAAATACTAGTAACCTATGAATATTATCTGTTTATAGCGTCCATTTTTCATACCCAGAAAGCAGAATGGAATGAAGTGTTGCACAGTAAACTCACTCTTTGATTGTTGGGTGGATACCTCGCCTAAGTTAATAAAAATCAGCCAAGTTTTTTATAACCGGCGTCAAAATTCCATCGGACATCAACCATCCGGGATTTGTGAGACTCGCGAGATGAATGTGATTGACATACTCAACTACTCCATTCCCTATCGTGAGTTTAGGTGTTGACAAAGACCAGTCTTGGGGCAAAATTTTGCATTTGGGGTAAGGGATTCTCATCCCGAAAATGCTTGGGCTGTCGTTCAAGGAAATCAGAAGACTAAACCTTTTCGGTGTTTTAACCAGACTGTACTATATTATCTGCGTATTTCAAGTCAGTCAGTAAATCTTTTGGTACAATAACCCCTGAAATATCAGACGATGGGAGCGCTGTCTCCAAAAGTACGTTTGACAAAGTTGTGTAGGAGTGGAGAGAAGGGACGGACCTGAAGAACACCACTATATGTCGATAATCCCAATGATAAATCACCATAAGCTCTAACTTGACTTGTAGTGTTCCAGTGGAGAACCTGTACAGGGTTGATTGGATTATTTGGTATCCATTTCAGTAACATACACTTCCATGAAACCTGACAATCTACAGGGTTTGGTGCCGCCTTAATGTCAAGGAATACGACTACAGTCGGATGTTCAGAAGGATGTCTATGTTCAAGAGCCTGGAGAAGGGTGAATCTCTGGTCGATACATCTATATCAAGATCGGAAGCCAGCCTATATTTCTTGTGATTGCACTTCATAGGCGCTAGTTAACCATCGTCGAGTTAATGAAATTAATATTTTAAATAACATACTAGTTAAACCGATTCCTCGAGTTGACACAGGAGGGTTTTTGTTCTTTATTGCAAACTGAGACGATTAGCTATCGAGACCAGGCAGATGGGATTGTGATGCCGGTCAATTTAACTGTGAAATATGAACCATCATCCCTAGAGATATTTGGGATTAGTCCATCAAAACCTACTGCTCTCCCTTACTCTAGGTTGCTTGCAATTTCTTGAACATCATTAAGAGTTAAGGGACTTACGCCAATTTACCACTCGGGCTGCAGGGAGATTATGAGTATCTGAAGTGTGACTGAATGTCATTTGAATTGTTCCCTAAAGTGTTCTGCCAATATTTCAATCACATGGACTGGGAGTGATTAATAGTTTCGCATGTTTTCATAGTCATATTAACAGCCGGATTTCTAACATCCGTCTGGTCGATAAGCCTGAAGAGTAGTTCACTATCGCCTTTTGTTGCCACCTCTGCCATCTATTTTTCTTTCATTAACAATCACTCCCCACATCCATTGCGTAGGCTTTCTAATTAGCCTACACTTAAGTTGCTTTCGCCGCTTATGGTGTTCGGAGCAAGACAGGATGGATTTCCAATCATCTATCACTTTGGTATTTGCGTATGTTTTTATAAACGGTTAGTAGAGATACAAGGTAGAATCACTACTGCATGCGTCTGTCCATGGGACGCAGCTGATTAATGCACGTTAATTGTCCTTTGGCGAGGATCAACTGGTTGTTCGACAGTCAGCGACCTGTTTGCCAAATGATTTAGCCGGAACCTAGGGATGTTTTACTGGTCCCACACTTTGGGTACTAGAATTTAATGCCTGACGAATGCAAATGGTGGGTTTACTAAGGGTTGTCCATGGTCACGTATATTGGCTGTCGTTAAAATGGTCAAATTTTTATGGATTAAATAAACAGTTGTTTAATGAACAAACACGAACTTTCAAGCATTTCGAGCGTTCTTTCAAAAGTGTCATATTTAAGCATCAATGTAAATAGATCTCAAAAGTAATTGGGAAGTACTTGATCATTATGAGTTATTTGTAAGTACTCCGAAAATGTCAGCTTCTGAAAGCGTAGAATTGTTGAGGTGGACTGAAATCCTTAGAATTGGTTTTTATTTATACTACCTAACTACAAGTCTTAATCCTGGAGTACGGTTGACTGGAAAGATATAGTTGGGTGATCTATATAGTATTAAGTTGAAGATATACTACCCAATAACTTCCTATTCTGCCCCACCCTAACACGGCGGTCGAAAGATTTTTCATCTCTGGTGCAATTTATGTGACGAATTAAATCATATCAGGCAGAGATCGATTTAAGCCTAGAGGGAAAGAAAGCGTGATATAGACCGTTTGCAACCATACTGCTTCATGTTCCGATCACACTTATCCAGTTATTCAACCTACACAGGTTAATATTGACCTTTTTAAGCTGTGATATACGGTTCATAGCCAAGTGACCGGTTTCAAAAATTGGTATTATAAATTCACCTATACTGTTAGATCACTAAGGTGCAGGTTTAAGTTATCGGAGATGTCACGGATATTCAGGGTCTGACAAAGCTCTTGTCCGTAACACATTTGTAATCATAAGATCCCAAACTCAGTTAAATCACAAGTCAGTAGTGAACGAGTTTGAAGATACATTTGGAATGTATTCGATATGTCATGGGCATTGATCATATCTGGCTTTTAATTGCGATGATTGCCTTGCACAATGTGTCCAGTGGTGTTCTGGTGAAGATGCATGACCAACGCCTTCACCAAGGGTTTGTTCAGTAAAACTAATGAGATCAATATTGATGTCAAAGACTTGCAGAGCTGTTGACTTAGGGATTTATTTACCCTTACAGTGTCATCAAGAATATCTGTTGTCACATTGAACGGTTTATTGGATGTATAAAGCGTAGAAACAAGCTGTATAATAAAAGAAAAGTATTTTTTGTGTTACTAAAAATTCTGTTTGTAATTGGATTTCGATCATCTGTATAACCTCGTTTAAAAGTACACTTCGTAATTTGAGGCGGTCAACACTAAAAACTGACGCAGGATGACCACTGAAAATGGTATGCTAAGTGATCATGTCCTCTTACGACTATCCTTTTAGGTGAGATTCGCCGTCCAACTATTGCTGATCGTGAGGATGAATATCGTTCGCGTCGTCGATTGCTGATGATTTCTCCAGCAAGAGTAGACCCGTTCGCTGACGGTATGTATACAAACAGCGTTTTTATTGTTTATCATCATTTATCCTTAAGTTATTACCCCATCTAAGAACGAATTTTTCTTTTTTGTATAGCGATGTGGTGTCCAGCGGGGCTTATTTTTTGTGTAAGGTTAGGGCGTTTGGTAAGTGCATATGATTAGGTGATTGTTTAGTTCTTATACATTCTACGCAATCCAAACTCTTTTACAGCGATTTCGCATCATTCAACCTTGAAGCAATCTCTTGGTTCGGAAACGATGGCCCGGGATAAACCCATCACGTGCGTCATTTTTTATGATGTTAAATTATGTGTATAGTTCTCTAATGCCTAATTTGTCTTTGCTTCTTTTTATTTATATTTATTTCTGCGCACCACTGACAAATAATTTGATGAATTGGCGTTTGTAGGCGACCAAACACCGGATCACCGTCTATCAACGTACAAAGATATCATGCTTAATCAGCAACTCACCAAGGAACAACGAGCATTGCAGGCAGAGATAGCCGAAAGAGGTAAAACTGGGACGCTACGAATGGACTCAGAAGTTCCCACGAAAAGACGTAGATGGGATCAGCCTACCACAGATGTCAACGGGACTAAGAATGATGCACTAACTCCTGCTGCTACTCCATCAACTCCTTCGAAGCGTTGGGGAGATGACGCACTCACTCCTTCACGTCCACCCTCTACACTTACAGGAGTCTCAACCCCTGGAAGCCGGTCACAGTGGGATGACACTCCCGGGAGAGCAAAAGACCCTGGCGCAACCCCTGGACAAAGCGTTAGGCAATGGTCAGAAACTCCCCACTTTGCAGCTACCCCAGGTCGAGAAACAGGAAGTTCTGCATTTGGTGTAAGTATTGAGACCGGTGAATTTCATGCCGCTAACTAATTCCTCGTGCTAATACTTTTAATTTTTTCCCGTTCTAGGGGACACCTAGTGCTAGACGTAACCGTTGGGACGAAACTCCTCACACTGAAAGGTATGGTGCCGATACACCAGGTCATGGTGCTGGATGGGCAGAAACCCCCAGAGCTGATCGAACTCCTGGCGGTGTAGAGTCAATTCAAGACACACCATCTTCAATGGTTTATGGACCAGGCTCCACTCCATCAAGCATTGCTGCTGCGGCCGCACTTGCCGTTAAGCGCAGATCTAGATGGGACGAAACTCCACTAAAAGCAGGATCAACTCCAGGTGGTTTAACACCATCTCAGGTTAGTAGCGGTAATGTATTTTGTCTGTAGACTTCATATCGGTGCAACAAATGATTTTATTTTTACTGTGTACCTTTTCATGTTAAAAATTTCGAATTTAGTGTAGAACCGCTGACCTTAACAAACAACTAACCTTTTAGTATAATCCAGCTAGCTAAGAGCTTTGGCAAGCAAAAATATCTGCCAATAATAATTTAGTGCTGACTTATCGCTGATAACTAAGAATATTTCAATATTAGCAACAAATTTATTAGTACCAAACGATGAGCATTTAAATCACGTGTACGGTACTCCCTGAATTTATCGAGTCAGCCCATCAAATAAACATTTTTGTAGACTTCAAGACTTATCTAACAAATCCTAAAATGTTGATTGCCAAGATTAAACAAAGTAAAGAATTAGTTGAATGATTTTAAAACTATTTAAAACAACGACCTACTAAATTATCTTTGAATATTTGGGAATGCATCAGCTAAGCATGTTATTGATTTCTTGTTTCGTGTTCATAATTTCGTTAGGTTTTCGGTCCTAAGTACTCACAGCACCTGTAGGTTGCAGTTTTCAAGAGCACCTTAGTGATTTTTTATTTTATTATGATATAAAAGCGTATCATCGTAGCATTCACTGTTTCGAGTTGCCAAAAATGTACTGATGAAAGTCGGTTAAGGATAAAACACTGACGTGTTGTATAAGTTAATAAAACAGCGCGGTCCATAACTTGGTCTTCTAAACTTCAACGATCATCTATATGTCATTTCTCTCTCAGCATGTCGTAGAAACTAGACAAAGCCGATGCACATATATGATTTAGATCCCCATAATAGGTGTCATCATTCTTTATGGTTTTGATTTTTAGACTCCGGGCAGCTTCACACCGTCAAGTGCTATGGGCGGGATAACACCAGGAGCAACTCCTGGAGGCTTTAATGCGGCCAGCGCTTTCACTCCTTCCGGAACTACTCCAACAGGTTTACGGGCTATGGCTATGGCCACACCAAATTTCGGGTCTGCTGCCATAACAATACCAGGAGCAGGAATCCCAATGACTCCCGAACAGTTACAAGTATATGCTTGGCAGAAGGAGATCGATGATCGAAACAGACCTCTAACTGATGAGGATTTAGATGAGTTGTTGCCTCCAGGTACGAGTTGTTCGGTTTTACTAAGTTATTCACTGAATTTCAACTATTTCTTTCACCAATCTTGTGTTGGTTTGAAAATATGAACTTATTTGTTGCAGATAAAACTTACTAACTTACTGAATCCATCATCTCTACCATGCCAAGTATATTTAAGCAACATATAACAAGTTATCATATTTCAGACAAAAAATAAAGTAAATGTGAGCTTTTAAATAGCTAACTGCTACTTTCACACTATGTGGGGTTTTCTAACAGTCCAACGATTGTTTCTGTTTCTAAACATCATTCGCGGTGGCCTACACATCCCTTAATTCATGTTCACTCATCTCATACTGTGCATTCTTCGATAAACAATAAGGAACGGTTTATGACATAGTAAAAAATAAGGGGGAGTTCTGTCACCTCTACATTTTTCAACACATCTTGACTAGATGGGATTCTAAAGGTTATGCGTGTCACCATATGTCTCAGGATAAAGGCTGTTAACATTCGTGCTGTTGTGTTTATTGTATTGGGTGTAAATAAAATCGCGTTTTTACCTCAACTTTCTCATTACCTGTTGTTTTTTTAAGGGTTTTGTGATTTGTTCGCAATGTCATCTTTTCGCTCTGTGCGGGGCATATTTGGTGGTGCTTCATTATAAAAAATTATTCCTCCCAAATAATTATGCCAAATAACGACGCCCTTTGTTAGTTGGCGGGTCAGTACTTAAAACATCCCTACCATTTTATTTGGTGCACACTTACAAGTTCGTTATACTTATACAGCGGCTAGTCTTTGGTGGAAATCCGACTGTATCTAATCGTTCTCGAGTCACTGTCCGGTTGAAAATTGTATGTTACCACCGAATACGAGGACTGAAGCAGTTTTTCTGAAACCACGTGCACCATTCAAACTGGCTGCCTTCAACGTTCGCACATTTATGCAGGTCGGACAACAGATAGGGCTGGCTATGTCTTTGGAAAGTCTTAATATTGACGTGTGTTGTCTATCCGAGACCCGTATTCAAGACTCTGGCGAAGTACTACAAATTTGATCTCCATCTGTCGCTTCGAAAAGCTTGTTTCACGTGCGCTTATCCGGGGACCCTGTGGCATCTTCGTCTGGTCTTGCTGGCGTTGGTGTCGCACTAAGCGCTAGAGCTGAGGCAGCACTAGTCGATTGGATCCCCATTAACAGTCGGTTATGTGCTGTTAGATTAGAGAGTTCCATCAAAGTGAGAAGAAATCGGCGTGAGAAACGATGTCTTTTCGTCATCTCCGCCTATGCCCCGACAGATTGCAGCCCGGATGCAATCAAGGATGAGTTTTACCACCAGTTATCAGTTCTTCTCCAGAAAGTGCGTTCGACAGATATTGTAGTACTAGCCGGAGACTTGAATGCTCAGGTCGGGCGTCTAGGCACAGAAGAGAGTCGTTTAGGTGGCCGATGGGGACTTGTTGGTCGCAGGTCAGACAACGGGGACCGTCTACTGCAACTTTGCACAGACCACAACCTGTTTCTGGCTAGCACTAACTTTCGGCACAGTCATCGCCGATGTGCCACCTGGCGTCCTCCCTCTGCATCTCAAGCCTGGACTCAGATTGATCACATCGCGATCAGCTACCGCTGGCGTGGTTGTGTACAAGACTGCCTCTCCTTCTGGAGTACCTATCTGGACTCTGACCATGCCTTGGTCTGCGCCAATCTTGCCTTACTTTTCAGTGGACAACAAAGTGAACGCCATCAACGGATTGATGTTAGCAAGCTGGTTGCAACTTCTGTTGCAAGTAAGTATCGAACCGAGCTAGCCTCTAGGCTAGCTACCACTCCACCGAAAAGTATAGATGAGCATTGGTTGCAATTGCATGACGCCATGAAAATGGCGGGTACAGTCAGTTGTGGGTTTGCGAAACGTCCCGCTTTTAAGCACTGGGTTTCTTCTGGTTCCTTACAACTCATTGAAGCCCGTCGGTCTACTACGGGTGACCGTGAGTTTGACCATAATCGAAGGATGTTACATAAGGAAATTGGGCAAAGCTTGCGTAAGGACCGAGAAGCCTGGTGGTCGATGCGTGCTAATGAGCTGGAAGCAGCAGCTGCATCTGGTAACTACCGGAAGCTCTTCCAGCTCATCCGAGCCACTGGCAGCAAGAAGTCTGGTGTGAGCGAAACAATCTGCGAGGATGATGGGATGCCAATCACTAACATCCATCGACGTCTTGGACGATGGGCAGAATTTTTCGAAGGGCAGTTCAACTGGCCTGCTGCTCCGGCAACATCGGTCAGACTGTCCTGCCCTCCATGGCCGGTGACGACTGATCCACCAAATGAGGAGGAAGTCCGCAAGGAACTCCAACTCTTGAAGCGTTACAAATCACCTGGCCCAGATGACTTACCTCCGGCTCTTTTTAAAGATGGTGGTGACTTTTTGACTAAGGAATTGACGACGTTGTTTACAAAGGTTTGGGAACTAGAGAGTGTACCAACGTCATGGAATGAGTCGATAGTTGTCCCTATCTTTAAAAAGGGTTCACGTCGTTCTTGTAGCAACTATCGGGGGATAAGTTTACTTCCGATTGCGTCCAAGCTATTGGCTTCCGTCATTCTTCGTAGGTTGTTCAAAACCCGAGAAAGATTGACTCGCGAGGAGCAGGCTGGGTTTCGTTCTGGTCGAGGATGTATTGATCATATCTTCACCCTCCGCCAAATGTTAGAACACCGCCATACTTTTCAAAGGCCAACAATCGTAGTGTTTCTTGACATCAGGGCTGCCTTCGATTCGTTGGATAGGACTGTTATCTGGGATTGTCTATTGAAGAAGGGTGTGCCTGAGAAGTTTATTAACATCCTAAAAGCCCTGTATAAAAACACCTCAGACAGAGTGAGGGCATACAACCACCTCTCTCCATTGTTCCATTCGAGCAGTGGGGTTAGGCAGGGTTGCCCAATCTCACCATTCCTCTTCAACTTTGCCATCGATGACATTCTGGAAACAGCTCTGATGAATGTAAGTAATGGTGGTGTGGATCTGTTGCCTGGAGAAAGACTTCTCGACCTTGAGTATGCGGACGATATTGTCTTACTGTGCGATAATGCCCAAGGCATGCAATCCGCACTTAATCAGTTGGCAATCAGTGTCCGTAGGTATGGTATGTGCTTTGCACCTTCGAAGTGCAAAGTACTTCTACAAGACTGGCAGGATTCTAATCCTGTACTCACCCTGGATGGTGAGCAAATAGACGTAGTTGAGAAGTTCGTGTATCTGGGTAGCTGTATAAGTGCTGGTGGGGGTGTGAGTGATGAGATCAATGCACGTATAGTGAAAGCCAGAGCGGCTTATGCCAATCTGGGCCACCTTTGGCGCCTTCGTGATGTTAGTCTGGCTGTAAAAGGTCGGATCTACAACGCGTCGGTGAGAGCGATTTTGCTCTATGCTTGTGAAACCTGGCCTCTCGAAGTTGAAGATGTTAGACGACTCTGTGTTCGATCATCGCTGTCTCCGAAGGATTGCTGACATTCAGTGGCAACACCATGTCAGTAATGCAGAGGTTCGGCATCGTGTGTTCGGGCACAGAGATGATAACTCAATTGGTGTCACCATCTTGAAACACCGACTTCGGTGGCTTGGACATGTTCTCCGAATGTCGTCCCAGAGAATTCCACGTCGTGCATTATTTGCCGACTCTGGGACTGGTTGGAAGAAGCGGAGAGGTGGTCAGTGCATGACATGGTGTCGTGGCATGAAAGAAAGCTGCAAATGACTGGCTTGTGTTGGTCCTTCACGACTCCCTGGCTGGGGTCCGAGAGATGGTGCTACACAGTGGCTAGAGACGTTATCAGATATGGCTCAGAATAGAAGCCAGTGGCGATCCTGCCTTAACCTTCTCTTACTTTCTTCATAAAAAGTTGTTGTGTCTCCTTTACCTGAAAGATTTCTTCTGATTGTACCTTTTCGTTCCGTCGTTACTACTACATTACCTTACACCAATCTCTTCGTCATTGTTCTCTTTTTCTTTTGCGTTCCTTAGTTTTTTTTCTTTCTTTCTACTTCTCCCCGAATTCTCATTGTTTTGTGTGGCGCATATATATTGGCGCTCTCTTCTACCAATATTTATGTGTTCAAATAAATAAATAACAAGTTCGTTTATATATTTGACTTCCTCGAATGACTGCCTTTATTTTTACGCCAGTCACCTGCGATTCCGATAGATCGCAGATTTGTAATTTCTTTTTATCGTATATGAAGTCAGGACCAAACCTACCCAGTCTGTTGGCTATTAATGTTATTCGTTTCAGCGAAATGTATCATTCCAGTTAGCTTCACGACCAGGGATAGTCTCATGTCTACATTTCATGGAAAATGAGATCTTTACTTCTGTTAACTAACCAACATCAGTAACAATCAAGTTGTCATTTTTTCTGCTACAGTTGCACACATAACTGTTGGGTAAACAATTTTGTGTATAAAATTTAATATACTGATTCACTTGTCTCCAGGTTATAAGATCATGCCACCGCCCGCCGGTTACGTCCCAATAAGGACTCCTGCTCATCGATTGGTAGCAACACCAACTCCAATGATTGGAGGGACTCCAATGGGCTTTAGAATCGGCACACCTGATATTGGAACAACAGCTGGGTTTGGTATGAATGCAACTGGAGGTAATGCTGCGGCTCTTGGTGACATGCAACCGAAAGGAGCTAATTTACCCATGATGAGACCTGATGATCTACAGTATTTTGATAAACTGCTACAAGTTAGTTAATCTGAATATTTATTTACAATTTTATTACGCCAGAAATAATTTCTATTCACTAAACAATTTCTTTTTGGAACTATCACTTTTCGTGTAAGTTTAGTTCAAAGTCTGAGAAGTATACAAACACCTAACTTGATTGTTCTAAACCATCTTGATACTTCGACAAAACCTTGTTTCATCATTTTCCAGTGCTTTAATTACTAATGACTGTCCTGAAGCATTCTTAATAGAAGTGTTAATGGTCTTTCTTCCTGTACTATATCCTTATTGCAATCTTTCTTTTATGTATTACCACCTCTGAATTAACTACTTTTATGAATCCGGCGTCCATCTTGTGTTAATGAGGTATGGCAACTTGGACCGATGCATATATGTGCCTGGTCCTACGTTGTAGCTGACTGACTGACCGTTAATGGTCGGAAAGTAGGTACGTTCCCTTGAGTACATCTTAACCCAAGGTTTACGGACAATGTCACGTTACGTTGTTTTAGTATACAGGATCCTCAAGCTCCGGTTTGTCAATAGCATCTATTGTATGCTTTTTGTATTATCTGTGAAGAACTCCTTTTTCAGGATTAGTAAACTATCTTAACAGCTGTAATCCATGTTACATGACTCACTGTTAATTAATTGAAAATTCGTGAATCTATAAACCTGATGCATTCGCAGTCATTTAGACTACCCATACAGAAAAAGTTAATGAATCATCTTTGCAAAACTTTTGATATCTTAACATCTGTCTATCAGAAGTCAAATTTATGACTTCGATTCATGTAATCTAGAGAAATATCTGTCACGCTCAATTGCTCCAGGCTTGAAATTCCGAAAGAATTCCATATGTTCAGATACCACTATCTCTGTAGGACTAATGACCTTCACTTAAAGTGGTTGTTCTGAACCTCTGTGTCATGTTCAATCATGTTGGGAATTGAAATTCATCTGATGTAGTTGTCTTTTAACACTGACTTTAGTGTTCCAAATACATTCTTAAAATATTACGCATCATTTGATTCATAAATTCACTTGTTCCAACTCGTACATATAAGTCGGTCAGCTGTAGGTGGTTGCATTCATAACGGTAAATGTATTGACTAAATCTTGACTTCGGTAGTTTCTGAGTCACAAGCACACGAAGAGGTATCCTGGTGCCAGCCATGACAGCATTAGTCTATCAAGTCAATCATGACACTGAACTATCATCAAAATCTCCATGTTTAATTCACTTTTCGTACCAATTTTTGTGTGGGAAGTTTCTTAGTTTTCGTTTTCAGAAGTTTTGCCACTTGTTTAATTAGTGATCTATTATACCTCTTAGCAGGTGGTTTTCTTAGGGAACCACACCCCGAGCCTTTGATCTGAAGGTCTAATCCACAAGGCAGTGGAGCAACGTCAGGAGATGCAGACCCATAGTAGCCGGTGACCAACAATAGGCCATTTTTACCATCAGAATCCTGGAGTCCATATGCACCATTGGTTTGGAATCAGGGTTTACCAACTCCCCGGGTCCACTAGCCCGGCTAAACCGCTTCTCTTCCTCTCGATTTCGTAAACAACACTCTCACCACGAGAAGGCAGTGAGTAGGACTTCCTTTGGAGTGGCTGTATACGCGTGGTCATGTGAGAGCATTTGAAGGTAAATATCAAGTTGCATCTCACTTTCCGTACAAGCTTTTTGTTAATTTTTAAAATACATTTTCTTTTTGTTAAAGGATGTCGATGAGGACACTCTTCCACCCGAGGAGGCACGTGAAAGAAAGATAATGACATTTTTACTCAAGATAAAAAATGGTACTCCTCCAATGCGTAAGTCAGCCCTAAGGCAAATCACTGAGAAAGCAAGGGAATTCGGTGCAGGACCTCTGTTCAAACAAATATTACCCCTTCTGATGTCTCCTACATTAGAAGATCAAGAACGCCATTTGTTAGTGAAGGTAAATTAGACCTCTCAATTATGCCTACAATCTCAGCATTTTTGTTTGTACATCTACACAGTTTCTTAATTGTTTTAAACCTGTTTCATTATTACAAATATTGATTGTCATATTTATTTCTATGCTTTCTTTTCAGTATGCATTTAAAATTGAGCACCACTTTTCAATTCATTAATATCCAATCTGTAGAACTTTATTATACTGCTTTGAATAAAATTACAGGGAAGACAAACACACTATGTAGTGTTTATTGTTATTCATTTTTGTTCATAAATCGTATGATTAACCTGAGAAAATCTTGTCAGGTTTGTTTCATGTTCCGAGTTTATCTTACCCAATATTTAATGTGTGTACTAGTGTATACTACATTATTTAAAATAGAATTTGATTAAGGTAGTCATAATAAACTGTATAATGCAAATATATACTTAATTGTCTTAACACGGTCCGCGCGGGTAACGAAAACATTCATCTGGCAAGACTATAATTTGTGGTCGAACCAAGAAAATTCAAGATAGGAGGTCTTGGATTTGGGTGCAAAATTCATTTTGGGATTATAGCTGATGTCGGTTCGTGATGAAAACCTCAACTGTAGTTCCTAACCTTAACTTCCGATTCTACGTCCCAATTTCAATTTCTCGCATTAATTTACAACCCACCCTCTTTAGACCCTAGCAGGGAGAATTTCCTTACAATCACTGGCGTCCCTCAAAGGTCATCTGTAAACTATAGTTCCACCCATTCATCTATATTACTATCGTGCATCCAATATTGTTGTTGGAACCATTTCCATCTTCTTGAAAATCCAGACAATTCTATATGTCGTCCATAACTTTATTATGATCTGCGTCAGACCCAGTTTTAATCTTTTATTTAGTATTAAATAGTTACGATGTAATGCATTTTTTAGTATCAAATTTGAGTCATAACCATACAGTCCTGTCATCTGATGTACTTTATCTTTAACCTTCAGGTAAAACAAACATGAGTTTTATTCACCTTTTTATTTCGGTAGGTCATCGATCGTATTTTGTATAAACTGGACGATCTTGTCCGCCCTTTTGTGCACAAAATTTTGGTTGTTATTGAACCTCTACTTATTGATGAAGATTATTACGCTCGTGTCGAGGGGCGTGAAATAATATCTAATCTCGCAAAAGTAAGTGAAAAAAGTATGCTTGTACATTGATTTCCCATATCAAGTGATAGTATGTTCAATTAATACAAAGGCAACTAAAAGTAATGAAACCTCAAAAAAACGGCTGCAGAAGAAACAAAACTAACTTCACTTGTGTATGTACTGAGGTCCAATCTACGTCAATTAACCTGTATGGCGATAATCGTGCACTACGGATGAAAATGGCGATCATTTACTTAAGCTTTCATCTCAACTATGTATGTCTTGCAGATGCACCCGTTATTTCTACCTTAGTGCTTAAAATCTCTCCAATTCTTTGTCTGCGTACTATTTTATCGCTTTACAACACACTGACGCATCTGTTGACACTTTATTAAAGTTTATTCACATTTAATAATGAAGTTATCAACAAAACTTAGTTTAAAGATAGTCAATATATATAAGTCAACATATCTCCAAGGATTTTAATATCAAATGCTCGTTCCTTTCTAAAATTTCCCTCTTATAGTATGCATCATCAACCAAAATTCAAGTAACTTTTATTGGTGATAACAATATTCGAGGTGGGCCTAAGAAAAGCATAAAGTTCAAGAAGTGTAAAACTTGGCGTGGGTTTGTTGCAGCCGAAATTTCTCGTCACAGCCAAATCAAGACATAACCAGATAGAATTAAATCACAATGCTAATTGTAATTAAGTAGGACAAAACAAATCACAATAGAGACACTGATTATTCCCGTATTAATACGATAATATAAATACACATAATTCAGAATTGGTGTGGTCGTGCTCTTTTTAAATACTACAACTGTAGTGAAATTTATACATCAATCTATTTCATAAAAATTTAACGGGGATTGGATGTAAAGTTAATCTAATAAAAGCCATGTAACTCGTTTCCCGCTGTTAGCTGTAGAAAGTCCTTTCTAGTTTTGCTTTGTATTGTTTCGAAATCAAACTTTTGTTTAAATTAAATAAATCATCAAATTTAAATCAGTTTGCTATATCTGAAATGACATCTTCGTAAAACCGACAGATTATTTCGTTTTAATGTAATCCAACTCAATACCCAAGTACTCATTCATGGGACCAATTATTAGACTTTCATTTCGTTACTAGTAACAATAACACGTTGCTTGATGAAATTCATGTTGCACATGCTTTTAAACCTAATGTAAGGCGAGCGCTAACTAACCTCTACGTGGTTAGTGCTGATAGTACGATAAGGGTGACAGTCATTTGTAAACTCGTTCCAAATTATATGTTCGTGACTTTCATGTATAATTATGAGTAACATTTTTTTAGTGAATAACCTGGCATTTTACTATTTATATCAAATAGGCTGCCGGACTCGCTACTATGATTTCTACTATGCGTCCCGATATTGATAATATGGACGAATATGTGCGTAATACAACTGCAAGAGCGTTTGCTGTCGTTGCATCAGCTCTAGGAATCCCTAGTTTGTTGCCATTTTTAAAAGCCGTTTGCAAATCTAAAAAATCTTGGCAAGCTAGACATACTGGCATCAAGATTGTTCAACAAATATCCATCCTTATGGGTTGTGCAATTCTACCGCATTTACGGTCTTTAGTGGAAATTATTGAACACGGGTTAGTTGATGAACAACAAAAAGTTCGCACCATTACAGCATTAGCTTTGGCCGCTCTTGCTGAAGCAGCCACTCCTTATGGCATAGAATCATTTGACTCAGTTTTGGAACCTTTGTGGCGTGGTATAAGAACTCATCGAGGCAAAGGTTTAGCCGCTTTCCTAAAAGCTATTGGCTACCTCATCCCCCTAATGGATGCAGAGTATGCCAATTATTATACCCGTGAAGTTATGTTAATTTTAATCCGTGAGTTTCAGTCTCCTGATGAAGAAATGAAAAAAATTGTTCTTAAAGTAGTCAAGCAGTGTTGTGCAACAGACGGTGTCGAACCTGATTATATTAAGTCGGAAATTCTACCACCGTTTTTCCGTAGCTTTTGGACACAACGTATGGCTCTAGATCGGCGCAATTACAGACAGGTATTCTTTTTTACGTTTTTTGTTGTATTGTAATTTGATCTTGATGAATGTTAATTTTTTGACCTCATATCCACAAAAGAAAAGAACTTTTAACCTACCTAGTGCTTAAGTTAATATTTGCTCGTACCAAGTTCCCTAATCAGTCACAAACATTAAACTTGGCAAAAGTTCGCGTATACCCACATTCTCACTTTTCATACCAGTATAGAGAGAAGTTAACAATATAAAGATTTTAAAAGTGAGATGATAATAGTATCAGTGAACGTGAAAGAAATCTAAGCTTGATGAATATAGACCATAAGAATAAATAAAAGTCGAGTTAAAAATGTATGGAATGATGTTGAAACCCAGGATATGGAAGTAGATAAAAGATTAATGCAACTGCACCAGTTTGACCGGTTTTCTGAAATGTCACTTAAAATTTCCAGTCATAGGTTATGATTATCACGTTGATCCTAACCAACTAGTCTCTTGACAAGGCTCAGGACACCAGACAATGATATGAACTAATCCCATATCTTAGTACTAGATGTACGTCTTTTTTGAATATAATTTATTAGGAAATTTATGCCTTATATATGCAAAATATCCAAATAAAATAGCATGACTATAAGCTGTTTGTCGGCTAGCAAATGGGTAGTCAATAATAGAAAATAAAAGTCTCTAAACAACCAAAGATTATTCATTTGTGGCTCTCGATGCTGTATTATTTCTAACTTCAACAGAATAAAACTTTACACAATTATTTTAGACAAAATTAACCATATATAGAGGTTGTGTAGCTTATAAACTGGTCAAATCAAAATTATATTTGGTGGTTTTCCAACACTTGTTGAACTTGTCAATCACAGATTTCGCTCAAGACACCAGCTTTCAAATTGCTAATAAGAAAAATTGTCACAATTAACGGTTTAGATAACGGACTAAAATTGTTGAAAAAAGAAAGGGGATTTGTCATATTAAAGTCTAAGTATCATTGATCTTCATTCAGAAATTTTGCATAAGCTATTTGCACTTAACAAATCTCATCGTAAGAACGCACGGAAAGTTTTTTTCCCATACAAGTAAATTTCACTTAATTATACAGCGAATTGTGATTTCATAACTTGTCTCATAAATTTTCTGAAAAACAACTTGGATCAGTGACCGTAGTCAAGTGACTTTAAACTGTTTATCATCTTCAAAGCCCTTTACACTTCAATTTATCCTAGATTTCGTAAATAAGGATATTTTTTAGTTTCAGATCACTACTGAACTTATTTTTGAAGTCAATTAAATGTGTTATGCAATTGCTGATAGTAAAATCTTTTATGTGGAGTGCGACGAAGAAAATACCCAGACATGTGATATGCTAGTCGTATAGCCTCATCATAATTGAGTATAATATTTCTTTTTCCCACCGTTTTATTAAGAAGTAATTGTCACTCAGCTCATTATCATTTTTCGGTCACGAATTAAAATAATTAGTTTGGTCTCATTACCTTGTACATAAGAAGATGCTTTATTTTCTCTCTTATTATTGTTAGCTGGTTGATACAACTGTGGAAATAGCAAATAAAGTCGGTGCAGCTGATATCATCTCTAGAATTGTAGATGACCTCAAAGATGAGTCCGAACCTTATCGTAAAATGGTGATGGAGACTATCGAAAAAGTTATGTCTGCACTAGGAAGCACAGAAGTTGATGCTCGACTTGAAGAGCAATTAATCGATGGTATATTATATGCTTTCCAGGAACAAAGTACCGAAGTGAGCTACTTGTAAATATTTTATATTTCGAATAAGTAAATTGTTCGTCACTCTTTTGGATTACTATCCATATGCTTTCCTTTTATAAATTCACTAACGTGAATTTAAAGTTTCTGAAGTATCCAGGGTTCAATGGAACTTCTGCTTGCTTTTATGCGTAGTTTTAAATGAGTAGTATCTTAGTAGTCATTATCTCCAAATTTTTAAATAGGCGGTTTACAAATCGAATTAAACAGTATAAGGTCCTGTTGAGTTTACTAATTATGAACAATAGCCCAATTATCTAAACATTCGGTTTCCATCTAATGGGTCGCCGGTCAGTATGAATCTTGTTTTATTGCCTGCTAGTTCAAATGCAAGTGCTAATGATGCTCCTCGTTCGTTGATTGACTTCTCTGTACTATTCATAAGGTGGTAGGCTTAGTCCTAAAATAGGTTCTTTAATCTCTGAAACGTTTTTAAAATGAAGGATATATGTTTGTTCAAGTTCCCTCAACCATACCAGCTTATTAAAACACCAAGCTGAATTCTTGTCGTTTGCTTGTTTTTAAGTGCATTAAGCCACATTTTCACACTATAGACTTATATGCATTCTTTTGATATCTTTTAATACTCAGGACGCTGTCATGTTGATTGGTTTTGGAACTATTGTACAATCACTTGGTAAACGTGTTAAACCGTACTTGCCCCAAATATGTGGTACAATCTTATGGCGTCTTAATAACAAATCGGCTAAAGTTCGTCAGCAGGCAGCCGACCTTATTAGTCGTATCGCTGGTGTAATGAAAGTGTGTCAAGAAGAAAAACTAATGGGTCATTTGGGTGTAGTTTTATATGAATACCTTGGTGAAGAATATCCAGAAGTACTTGGAAGTATTTTGGGTGCCCTTAAGGCTATTGTAAATGTAATTGGTATGACCAAAATGACTCCTCCAATTAAAGAACTTCTGCCAAGATTGACACCAATATTGAAAAACAGGTTAGTTCTAAATGTTATTGTTCACTATCGCTAAATGGTATACATCATGGTCGTTTTCAGTCAGCTTACCACCGACTTATATTTTGATCATCGGTTTTACTGATGTTTTGTCGATATCTGAGGATTGCGACTTTAAGCCTCTTTTTCATACATGCAATTAAAATAATGAATGATATTATTTAAACTTGTACCAATCTAACTCGCTTTTTTATTCTCTGAAGAAGCGACTTACACTATGTCACGAAACATCAGAAATTCAGTTGTCTAGTTACTGAGGTATTACAAGTATATAATCAATTTTCTTATAAACAGTCATTCCACCCTACATTCAATAAGTTTGATATTATCTAGTTAGACCTTGGTAATGATACTCTTCTTGTTTTCTAGGCATGAAAAAGTAGAAGAAAACTGTATCGATCTTGTTGGACGAATAGCAGACCGTGGGTCGGAGTATGTCTCTTCTAGAGAATGGATGCGTATCTGCTTTGAACTCTTGGAATTATTAAAAGCACATAAAAAATCAATTCGACGAGCAACTGTCAACACTTTTGGTTATATTGCCAAAGCAATCGGTCCACATGATGTTTTAGCGACTCTGTTAAATAATTTAAAGGTGAGTTGTTTAAAGCTTATTTGTCAAAGCCAGTTACAGTCTATTTGTTGTTATCTTCTTCACTTTCATTTGTGTTTTCCGTTTTAATACTCTTAATTTTTCTCTTCAGGTTCAAGAGCGTCAAAATCGTGTTTGCACAACTGTTGCCATTGCTATTGTTGCAGAGACATGTAGTCCATTTACTGTTTTACCCGGTCTTATGAATGAATATAGGGTCCCTGAACTAAATGTTCAAAATGGTGTTTTAAAATCACTGGCTTTCATGTTCGAGTACATTGGTGAAATGAGCAAAGACTACATATATGCCGTAACTCCTCTGTTAGAAGATGCACTAATGGACCGGTAACTAAAAATTTTTTAATATACTCTTTTTCTATGCGGTTTGCTGACCTAATGTATTTTTCCTTTTAGTGATCTTGTGCACAGACAAACTGCAATGACTGCAGTAGCTCATATGGCTCTTGGTGTATATGGGTTTGGGTGTGAGGATGCTCTTCTGCATCTCCTGAACGTCGTTTGGCCTAATGTCTTGGAAACTTCACCACATGTCATTCAGGCTTTCATGTTTTGCATTGAAGGTCTCCGTGTTGCACTTGGTCCTAACAAAGTACTTCAGTATTGTCTTCAAGTAAGTTCTGCCTAAATATGAGATATTTAAATCTGTTGGACAAAGTTTTTATTAGAGAATCTTCATTAAGTTTTCCTATTTCTAGCCAAGGTATTGGAAACAATTAGTCTTTAATTATTATTTTGCACTTACACTTACCAAGAAAGAGATAAACATTTTCATAAGTGTTTTGAATATCTTTGTCCTACCGCTTCTGAATGAGGCTATATTCTCCTTCAAACAAAAAACGACATGGTGTGCAAAAAATCACCCTTTTGAATTAAAAAAAAAGATCTTTCACAACTGTTAAAAACAATCATACATAAGTCGAAACAAATGTGATATTTTTACCATGATTACGAAGACGATAAACGGTCCCTAGAATCAATTTCCTCCAACTTTTAAGCTTTTTTTGTCAGCTTGGTTGAAAACTTTCGATCCACACATATCATACGCTATTCTTCTTTTTGAAAAATATATTGTTTATTTTTAACAGGATATTTTACATATTTTTGTGTTTTTCGTTCCTCTCAGGGCTTATTCCATCCTGCTAGGAAAGTGAGAGATATGATGTGGAAAGTGTACAATACTATTTACATTGGTAATCAAGATGGCTTAGTTTATGGTTTCCCACGTATTCCTGACGAACAAGATCACACTTATATCCGACATGAATTGTCTTATATTTTGTGAAAATGTATTTGTCAGTATGATCACAACCCTATTTACTTCTTATTTTCACTCCCAGACTTTATGTTTTGTTACTATTGCATTCTTGTCCTTCAAATAAGTTCCTGATATCAGGATCTATTAACTCCTACGGTTTTACACATCGTCGTGGTCTTGTATTTAAACCAATTTTTTTCGGATTAATAAATCAGTTAAATTGACTCATGTGCTTTCTAATATTCTATTCAGATGGGTGATGTGAGTGAATTTCTAACTTCATAATTTAGAAATTAATGCCACAAAGGTTCCCTATGCTATTAAATCGCTGTCGTTAATCTTTCAAAAGTAGGGATAGGAGCGATCCAAAAACTAATCGATCTCAATGTTAAATTTGACGAAGCCACCATTTTATCTACTAAATTATTAATAAAAAACGCCAATTTTCGGCGTTACCAATTTCGAGACTTACTATCCAGAGTCTCTAGTTATCATATACGCTTTTCGCATGAGCCCTACTCAGAAAGGTTGGACCTCCTGTGACAATTAAGTTTTAAATCCACAAACTTACCTCTGATATTTGCTTGCAACAGTATTTGTAGTTAATCTCTGTTATTTGAAAATGAGTTTGTTGATCGTCGAAACAATAGGCTTGCCAATAAGTCACGCACTTCTACTTCATAGCTAGTTAATTCAAATGTGATGTATTTGAATTCGAGTTCAAGTTGTAAGAAGAGGTTGGTAGGTAGCTTGCTGTCAATAAATTTGGTACAGAGAATTGTAGTCATTTAGTCGGTGGTAAAGCTCACCGTAGATTGTATTTTCTTGGGATGTAAATGAAGGTATACTCTCTAAGTGCGATTGAATCTTATAGTTCATTGACAAGAATTGTTGTACTTTTACACCTAAAGGATTATTGTTGTCTGGGTCCTGCGGTTTAGTACAAAATCAGTTAATCCTTCAGGATGTTCGGACTAAGGCATATGAAACATCTTTTCTAGATTGATAAATGAATCCTGTATTCTTGAATATTGGTCATCGAGTCATCTTTAAGTGAAACTCGAACTAACAGTCTTGTTTTACCTTTGCTTCATACAGGTTCGTACTTTTCTGTTGATTATAAAATCATACTCGTAAAAGCATTTTAAAAAACGGAGTGGTTACTCATCTTAAGTCTTATAGTATTTAAGTGTGGCAGTCATGTTGGTTAGTTGTATAGGTGGTGAAGTTGGTTGACGTGACAGAAAGGTAACTAACATAATCACAATCCTTTTTGAATGAGATCATACTAGGACGAAACGGCCGTCCAGTGCTTCCAGGTTTCCAACGGTGATCTAACATCAATTGGTACATGATCTCAATCAAAAAACTTAACAATCTCCACAACCCCCATACTGATATTCAAAATCGTTTGTGCATACGTATGATGATATTGTATCTCATTTAACTGAAAGACTTGCTAGACAGTAATAATTACATGTAAATGCCATCCCAAAGCCGACATAATCATGTGGGGTAGGTTCGACTCTTTATTCTGATGATGACACTCGAATTCCTAAGTCGAGCGAAAATTCCAAGATTCATGTATTTGTTTTCCGAATCCTTATTGCTGAAATGTAAGTATTTTTATAATTGCTTTATTCTGTTAAGCATAGACTTAAGGTGAGCTGTGCAGTAATACTTCAAAAGTTGATCGCCTTTTAAAATCACTCATGTGGTATTTGTTTAATATGTCCGAACAAGTTACTAGTTTTTGAAAGCTATCTCATGAACATTTGCATTCTCATTGTTTTTGCATCCAGCGATCCGAATTATTCTAAATCAAATAGAGAAGTATGAAGTGACTTTAAAACTCTAGATCCAACGTGGAATAAAGACTTCACTTCATTGTGACCAATTTTGAAACTTGTCACCAGGTATTATTTACCAAATTTCAAAATGATTACTTACGCCTGTTACTCCTCGTGAAGGAGCATAGGCCGCTCACCAGCATTCTCCATCCAACCCTGTCCTGAGCAATCCTTCCAGTCATTATTCATCCTTTTCATATCTGTTTCTATTTCCGACATAATGTGTTCTTTGGCTTTCCTCTTTTCCACTTCCCTTCAGGATTCCAAGTTAGGGCTTGCCTCGTGATGCAGTTTGATGATTTGCGTAATGTGTGTCCTATCCATTTCCATCGTCTTTTCCTGACTTCTTCAGCTGGAAGCTGGTTTGTTCTCTCCCAGAGAAGGCTGTTGTTGATAGTATCCGGCCAATGAATGTTGAGTATCTTGCATAGACAGTTATTTATAAATACTTGTACCTTCTTGATGGTGGTTGTTGTAGTTCTCCAAGTTTCAGCTCCGTACAGTAGAACTAACTGTCTTGACGTTCGGATTGAAGATTCTCACTTTGATATTGGTTGAAAGTTATTTTGAGTTCCATATGTTCTTCAATAGTAGGAATGCGACCCTTGCTTTGCCAATCCTTGACTTTACGTCTGCATCTGAGCCTCCTTGTTCATCGATGATGCTTTCCATGTATGTGAAGGATTCTACATCTTCCAGAGTTTTGCCATCAAGAGTGATTGGATTGCTGTTCTCCGTTTTGAATTTGAGGACCTTGGTTTTTCCTTTGTGTATGCTGAGGCCTACTGATGCAGAGAATGCCGCTACACTGGCTGTCTTTTTCTGCATCTGTTCGTGTGTATGCGATGGGAGGGCTAGGTTATCTGCGAAGTCCAAATCGTCTAATTGGTTCTGAGCTGTCCATTGTATGCCGCGTTTTCCCTCAGATGTCGAGGTCTTCATAATCCAGTCGACCACCAGAAGAAAGAGGAAGGGAGAGAGTAAGCAGCCTTGTCTGACGCCGGTCCTTACTTGGAATGCATCTGTCAGCTGTACTCCATCCACTACTTTGCACTGTAGTCCGTCGTATGAGTTCCTGATAATATTGACAATCTTCTCCGGAACTCCGTAGTGTCGAAGGAGTTTCCATAATGTCCTCCTATCTACACTGTCGAATGCCTTTTCATAATCAATGAGGTTGATGTACAGTGACGAGTTCCACTCAACTGATTGTTCAACGATGATCCGTAGTGTTGCAATCTGGTCTGTGCACGACCGATCCTTACGGAATCCAGCCTGTTGATCTCGAAGTTGGACGTCTGCTGCATCTTTCATCCGGTTCAGCAACACTCTGTTAAAGACTCCCTGGTATTGACAGTAGTGTGATGCCTCTGTAGTTTTCACATTTTCTCAGGTCTCCTTTCTTTGGAATTTTGATGAGGTGTCTATCTTCCCAGTCCATCGGCACTTGTTCCTCCTCCCAAATCTTTTTGAATAGAAGGTGAAGCATGTGTGTAGTTACTTCGATATCTTCATATCCGCTGTTATCTATTCCACCTTTGGCGTTTAGATCTCCCATCAGAATGGTGAGGTCCTTTCTTGGGCACTTCGCTATGATTGATTGCAGCCTCTCATAGAATTGATCTTTGATATCGTCGTTGCTATCATTGGTGGGTGCATAGCATTGGATAATATTCATTGTGATCCCCTCCTTCTTTGTTTTGAATGATGCTTTGATGATTCTGGATCCGTGAGATTCCCATCCTACAAGTGCATTTCGTGCCACATTGGACAGCATTAGAGCAACTCACTGAGTGTGTGGAGCATTTTCCTCTTCGTGACCGAAGTATAGCAGCATCTCTCCCGTATTTAGCCTTTGTTGTCCAGCTTGGGTCCAATGGGTTTCGCTGATTCCCAGTACTGCCAATTTGTATCTCCTCATTTCCGTTGCCATTTGACTGGTCTTCCCGGTCTCCCACATTGTTCGAACGTTCCATGTACCTAGAAAACTTTTTGCCCTGGTTGTTAGAAGGGGCATCGACCTCGTGGATTCCGAAGGAACTCGACTTTCACCATGAGGCGTCATAATTCTTCTAAATGAAGACCTTCTAACTCCCAGGACAGAGTTAAAATGGTTTGAATTAATTTTTCTGGTTAGCGTATTTTTAGCGAGTTAGTTTTCTACGGGATGGGGTCGCTAACCCCATGCCCAAGCCTCCTACTTTATCCGGGCTTGGGACCGGTAGTAACTCTAGAAGAGCTACAGGCGGAGTTTTCCAAGTGATGTTATTAGTTAATTTATGTATTCCACAGTCATGCAAGGAGTTAGTTGTTGTCTACATAGGTCAGTCATAGTTCCTTCAAATAGAATTCGTCTGGTCACTCGGAGTTGGATTAGTTTCCACTACAATCTGGACACACGTCCATGACGAATCTGAGCAAACACTAAGGAAAGATCAATGGCTTCCTTATGGTTAAAACGAAATACACAACATTGATTGGTTATTGTGTGGACAAAAAATTTAAAAGTAGAATTACTTCTTAATGTTTAAGAATCACATTTTTAAGAGTAATGCAACCTGAGTAAAGATATTAGAAAAAAAAATCATTAGATGAATATTGTTATTCTATTTACTGATTTGTACAGTCACAACATCTTGTATGGACTAATGCTTGTCAAAATTCGAGACAGAAAGTCTTTCTGAATACACGTACATTTGTATCTAATTCTTAAAACACGGACTACTTTTTATTTCGATTTCTATCAGCTTTCTTCGAGTTAAATGACTGGAGCTTAGTTCCTGTTAATATTTGTAAGAATACATTACCTGGAAATTGTTAACAAATTTTCTCACGATATCTTGGAATAACTGTTATCTCAATGAATGACAATTTTGATTCAAATGTGCATAACTCAAAACCGCACAATATTAAGTCATCTTTCACTGAGACTGCACGAGTGAAGTGTGTATTCATAAGTGGAACGATAAATCATAAAACTACATTCTTTTTCTTATCAAAATATTTTTCTAAATGAGAAGTTTGAGTGACTGACATTAGTTCGAATAATCCAAATAATTACTCTTTCATCTACAGTTCAGCTTAGGTTCCAGACCTTAGCTGCTACCTTGACGCGGTGGTCTGGCTTGCCTATCGTCATGATCCAACCGAGCTATATTGGCTGGAACATGTGTTCCTGTAAGTTTTACCATGCTAGGATGGTCGATTGGAGAACAGTAAGACTAAAAGCAGCATCTCAAGGTCTGAGGGCGAAGTCGTACTGCTGACTGTAGAGGGGTGTGACAGCAGTAAGGTGTTTCCCTTGGACAACCAGCATCTGCAGCGATGCTGCCTTCCCACAAGGAAAGAAGGGGTTGGAAAAGATTGACCCTAA